TTTTTAGATGGAACATAGCTTTCACACGTTTTTGTTTCCTTGGAAATGATCCCAGCTGTTTCTCATTTTGATGCGAATTCAACGTCGGTATTTTTAGTCGACAACAGTGATCTTTGGGGATTCTTTTGATGTAAGGATTACCAAATGGCCTCCTGTACTACCCTCGCCTCTATTGTTTCCATAGAAACCTATCCTCTTTTACAAGAGTTTTCGCATTTGACTGACCGAGCTAATCTTTTGTCTCTCCTCAGTCCTTGGGTTCCGCCCGGAATAAAACTTGGAAACGAGGGTCACCTGAATGATTTTATCGATGGCTTAGGTCCAGCGCAGATTGTTGGGCGCCAGGTTCTCGCATCACCCTCCATGGGAGACATCCAATTGGCGCTCTACAACAGGCGAGGAGTGTTAGAGGTCGAGGTCATCAGAGCCAAGGGATTGCTACCGAAACCGGGCTCGAAGATTCTACCAGGTAAATACTTCGTTTTTGGCTGGAATGTCAACATTTACTTCGCTTGGAACCAGGCCTGGAAAACGGAGGTGGGGGGGGGGGAGGGGGAGGGCATGCGAATTTTGGTCTTAACTGAGAACGCTTTCTTCGTCAGTTCGTTAATCTATAGTTTGAGACCACAATGCAACAAAAACGATCAAAAACATGGCGGAGGTGTGGAGGATAGCGGACCAATTCTCTTTTCTCTCTTTGCGGAAAGGTCTTTTAGCTGCTGTCTAATGCCCTTCGTTTACTTCTGTCGACAAGGTCTTGTTAATTCGTCGATAGCAAGTTCTTTTTTTTTCCTTTTGCAATGAAATAATAACACAAAGCTGAGGTGTCTCCGTTTATCATCTCACTGCTTCGTCTAGTCTTCATCTTCTTGTGCTGTTTAGCTTTAATATAGCTTGCGAGCATGCGCTCATTATAAGCGCTTCGGCTTTCCTCGCCCGCGAGAAAATGAGTTATGAGCGAAGCGAGCTGGTGAGAGGTCTGTAAGGGGTCTGGCACTGATAAGTACCAGACCCCCGGCAAACTTCTCGAATTGTCTCAATCTTCCCGACGGCGGAGAAAGGTGCGTCCTGCTTCACTGATAATGAGTCTCCACTCGCACACTAGCTTTCATTTGTGAGCACCAATAATCTGCTTTTTTTTCCTTCTGATTCCAGCGCCTTATGTTAAAGTATATGTCATGGACGGTAAACGCTGCTTAATTAAAAAGAAAACCAGAACCGCAAGAAGAACGTTAGAACCGTTATACCAACAACAACTCGAGTTCAAGGTAGAATTCACTGGAAAGACACTTCAGGTAAGTGAAATGAGTGTTTCTTTTTTGAGTGTTTCAGGGTACGATTTTTTCGTTTTCATTGCTAACTGGCAATGGAGTACGCAGCGAGTCACGCGTCAAACCTTCCCGGTGCATTTTAAGATCCATTAATCTAGTTATTTTAACATGTTAAAAGTCTTATTATTGAAAGATTTACTTGACTCATATGTTCTTCTCTGTCGCAGGTTATTGTGTGGGGAGATTACGGACGCATGGACAGAAAAGTCTTCATGGGCGTTGTACAGATTTTACTCGACGAGTTGGACCTTAGTAATCTTGTTATTAGTTGGTATAAACTGTTTTCTACGTCATCCATGTGTGATCCACCCCTTCCATCATCTTCCTCCCCACTCGGTGGTGGATCGCCAAAAAAGTCCCCAGCTCCTTCCCCTAGAGATCCGGGCGTGCCCAGTCCTATGCGCATGACGTCACCGATGCCCACTATCATCCCGCCACCAGGTCACGCGCATAACATGGACGAGGAGGGAGACTATGTATGAGTTTGACATCTGTATGACATGGATTAAGCTTGGGGCGTCCACTGTGGAATTCTGGGAATTCTGTTTGGAGTAAAAGTTCACTCGGAGTTGAAATGTTCATGCTTGATGAATAAACAGACGATATGTGAAATGTTTTTTACCACGGAAACGCTTTATGGGCGAATTAGACCGAGAATCAGTTACATTTATAGTTAAATTATGAACAATTTTAAGACTAAGTTGGACAAGAGCCGACCTCGCCCCAGACTTTCAGTTGATTGATCACAGGGTGACACAGACGAGGATCATGTGACTAGTTTTTACGTAAGTAAAAAAGTTAGGTAAGGAACTTGAGTTTGATTTTTCTCTCAATTAAGAACAATCTAAAGAGACGTGCTTATAGGAACCACGAACTAATATTCAGAAGGAAAAATAACTTTGGATGAAAAAAAACTTTTCATCATTGAACACGCCGTGGTAAAATTGCCTCTTTAAATTTACCGCCTGATTGAAAAAAAGATCCGAAGCGAATATAAACGAACCACTGTTATGTGCAAGTCATTCAGTTATGGCTATTGCGTCATTTTATTAGTCAATGAATAACCACCGATGTCTTAACTTCACTGTTTGACCTAACTGGTTGCCTTGTTTCATATAAGGTTGATCCTTTGACTTCCCTGATCTGGTAAGAAATTCTCCTTACGAGCTGCTCAGTACACATTGCCATGAAAAATTGGTAGGGGAATGTGAAGGTGACTCATTCCTACTGATGCGCATGTCAATTCTCATCACCTGTTGTTTTCATAATGAATAGACATTGTAAGGAGAAGCTGTATTTTAGTCACTTCTGGAAGTCAGAGGTTTGATTCTCTAGCTCTGTGCTGTTCTTAAAATATAAGGACTGCAGAAAGATCAGTGTTAGGTATATAATTTTTCAGTTTTCAATCCTTTTTCGTTTTTTACATTATGAGCAAATGTCTAAGTTTAGTCTTGTCGGCAGCAGTTCTATGGTTCGTCACACAACTATTTCCTGATCAGAAACGTAGCGTGACAAAATAGTTCCGCGGGCAAGGACCAAACCTGTGTAAGGGCTCAAGAGTCGCGTGACATAGGGTCTTATGTCGCGTGACGGTCTTATGCTCACCGGGTCGAAGCGGTGCGTAACGCAAGAGTAATGTGTGACAAATCAAATAGTACTGAATATCAAATGGCACATTTTCAAGAGTAGATAACCAGTAAAAAGGAAGATTAATTTCAGTAAAATAGAGAATTTCATTAAGTAGCGTTGGGTTTTCAACGACGGTTTGACCGATATAGTTATGTATTAAACTAGTATCTTATATAATTTCACTTTTCACTTCACCAAAGTCTTTGGTAGTGGAAATATGGACGAGAATGGTTCTTTGTTCAAGCATTCCACGTCGTAGGTAGACATCTTTTATTTATAAGGAAATATTTATTTAAAGACACTGAAGAGACAATATATCAAAGGATTGTACAACTGTTGTAATATTATCACTAATATGTATTTATTGTATTATTTAAATCTTGGGGAATGAAGTTCTTTTTGACGGAAATAGTATTTATGTGCTTTTTAAAGCTTAAATCAAACGTAATGAGGTAGCTAAATAAATTGCAAATACTGAATCATGATTTTTGTCTCTGTTTTTCCTTTTTTTCGGGTTATTTAAGGCATTGCTCTGAGAAAGAACCTTGTCAAACTTTGCACGTTGAATGTCGTGTAGTAGCGCCTGCGAGAACGATTTCGTTGGTGCTGCAGCACGAGAGTATCGCGGGCTTCGCGTTAAGTCTGCGAAAGTCTAGCTTGCCTTCTTTGCTCGGTAGTAGGAGGTTTTTAGGGATCTGGCACGAGAAATGAGTCAGACGGCTCACAGACCTCTGGAGGCTTCTAAAGATGCTCATGAAGCCTGATTGAAGGCTAGCTGTGCGGTACTCGAAGATTTAAAACACGAAAACGTCTTGGCTTACGTCTCTGATTATTTTTTATTACCTTTATTCGGCATTGAGGTGTTTATTCCCGGATTAAAGAAAAAAAGGGAAACGATAGTCACTTAATCTTGTTTGCAACTAATCAATACAGGTTCCATGAAAAGACCGCAATTTCCTCCGTTCTCGTCCCCGGAGCCACTCGCCATTAAGACCACATGCCCTAAAAAGAGGGGACACTGGTAACAAAAATGGCGGTAATCAACCGCAGAATTATTAGCATGTGCAGTGCAATACTTTTTAATTTATTAAGAAAATTCCGGTGACGAAGTTACCTTGCAGTGCAGGGGTTTTATTCTGGTGGATTAAAGATAAAAGCTCGCGCTTGTTCATTCCGAACGACCATGTTTGATACAGAGTTAGAGTGGACGGTAAGGGGGGGGGGGGTAGGAAAAGGCACCACCCCTCACCTCTACTTCCTTTTGACCTTCGATCACCCCCCTTGGTAAAATTTTTTTTCTCTCCTCAGCCTTTCGCTGCCGTAAAAATCAGATGACAGCTACAACTCTGCAGACTATGACGAAACCACCGTTACCACCGACTTTGAACACTTCAAAATAGGTTCGTAATTCACAAGCCTGTATTTTTTCATGCATTTTTAATAGGAAAGAAAGACTTTCTTACAGTGGCACATTATTGCTAACTTGATTTTTTAAAAATGGAATTAAAAGCTAGGATAACAAAAAGTAGCGCTTCTTAGCCTGCAACGCTAAGATTCTGCTCGATGGAAAATCTTCATAAAAAACAAAGTTACATATACAAGCTACCCCTCAATCTGATTATGTCTTAATTGAATAGAATGATTCTATTGGTCCCTTTTCCAGCAAAAATCGAGAAGAGTGTATAAATTTCTTCACTCTGTTGAGCTAGCTTTAAAAGCGGTAACAACGTGATATAGTCGTTCTGTTTGTGTCGCACCCTTTTGCTAGAATTCTAAGCATGCTTGTTTCGCTTCATTTCCTAGAAATTACGAAAAACAGCAACGATTGATCAACATATTAGACTTGCGCCCAATCCCTTCCTTCTTACACGCCTAGGAAAAGAGATAGAGGGCTGAGGAGGAACAAGGAAGTACGAAAGGACCGCAAACATTTTGTTAGAAACTTTCGATAAAAGTGTCACCGATTAATTGATTTGTTTCTGTATAAAAAACAGTTGAATGGAAAAAATTATTTTACTGAAACGACTTCTTGTTCGCACACCATCTTTCAATGCAAAATTTATTGCCTTAGTACAAAAGTGTAAATGAAGACCAAACGATCGAGGTTTTGAGAGCTTTTCAAAGGTTCTCAAAGTTAGAACTTATCATTTAAAAGCTCGAGTGATAAAAAAAAATTTTTCGATAAAAACTAAAAAGAATAAAAATCATCGAAAGTGTTATTTGCTGCACAGGCTAACAAAAGGAAGGGGTGAAAGGCGAAAGACTTTCCTTTAGTGTGCCACGTTACGTCAACCCATTCTCTCTCACACAAGCATCTTGCTTTCATCATTGGAAGCCGTAGTGTATACGACTCGACCAGCCTGTTGGGGTGAATGAAAACGCTTGTACAACACAACCAGAGCCGTGATAAGCGCCAACACGACCACGCCCAAGACACCAGCGACCGCGGCAATAACGGTCAGCGAACTTCCAGATTCTTGAGCTGTGAAGTGAATGAAACCAAACATGTTAGGAATTTACTTTTTATAGCGAGATTTTGATTCGTGGGGGAGAAAAAAAAACAAGCTTACGACCGGGTCAAAACCATTTACTTGCCCACGATAACACTCACGCACGCTGACGATTTAACGAGATGTTTGCTGTCCATGCATATTATTGCCACTCACTCACGCAATCACAAATCTCACGTTCGCGCAATATGTAAAGCACACGCACACATACGTACGTGAACACACGCGTACGCACGCACGCACGCGCACACTAACCTTGTTCTTGTGGTTGAATATCTTCAGCGGTCAATGGTCCGATGCTAACGGTCTGCTCTCCAACGCTATCCAATTCCAGGCCACGCCTCTTCCTGGAGTTGTCCCGGTCGCATCCCTTGGCACAACGTGACTCGTTGTTTCCCTTACGGCAGGCCTCCACAGCGCAGTGAAGGTAAACAGTGGACCCTGAGCTCTCCCCTAAGAAGCGGAAAGCGTCTAAGTTGAAGCGTTGAACTGCGTTTTCCTTGTAATTAAATTCCAATGTTTCGTCCTCTTTGCAACTGGATAGAACCGAAGTTACAACACAGGAAAATTAGAACGTAGAGTATAGATGTAAGTGCATGTACAAGTGTAAGGACTTCCGATGATTTCGTGACACGGATTAGATACAGAAGTACGACATAACGGGAATTTCGATCGTGATACCAGAAATACCGATAAATTTATGGAGATATCACAGCTGACCCATGTCCGTCTAATGAAACCTCAAAGAAGGATTCTTCTCAGTGATTGCTCCTCGGCTTAGTTTCGTGTAAAAAAGAAAAATCCGAAAGAGCGTTTTTCAGCCAACTGGTTAGGGTCAAACTACGCAAAAAACAATGGCATTTCCCTTTCCTTTCCAGGTCGCGTCCAGAGAACTTTTAGGCTATACTAGGGTAGGGTGAGCTTGCAGTTTCTCAGATACTGTCATTGATCTTAAGTCTCTCATTCAAGCATGTCATGTTTCAAACAATCAAGAAACCAAGGTTTTTTTTTTTTTTTTTAAAGCAATTTGATAAAGTCGTATTAACGCTACATTTTAATTCCTATTTTTTCTTGGACGATCTTCAGAGCCTCTTACCCCTTATCGATAAAAGCAAAGAATTTTCCATCGTTTGGGTCATCACTGGGCGTGGCCCAACATTTCTCAGGAATCAGCACCAATTTGGAATCATTGGACGTGACTTTCACCTCGAGGTACATCTTTTCCTGAAGGTTCTTTTTCACCGGGTAGCTGTCATATGGTTTCAAATATTGATCCGTCTCGTACATGTCCATCGTAAAGGTAAAGTTGCCGAATTGAGCTGCAGATAGGAAAAAAAAACATTCAAAATTCGGTTTAACTTAAATGTTTCCGAGTCTTGTCCCTCTTGAATTTGCCTAATGGTTTGGTCCTGAGGGCCTTGAAGAAAGCCCAACAGGCGACTGACAGTGGATGTTAATCTAGCCGCGGAAGACCTGGGGAGAAAAAAGTACCCAGACCTCTCTCTTACCTGTCCTTGTGTAGATAACTTTTTCCCGAGGGGAGAAGCTGGCGACAGACATGATAGCGGAGCGTGGATAGCTGCACTTGAACGGGAACTCTGCCTGAAACTCCCTGGAAATCAGAACGCTACCTGCAGAGGCTCTTGTCTCGGCAACGATACTGTTCAAGTATGTGATGGTGTCCTCAGTTGTGTTGTGTTCTGTCATGCAGCCATCAAGAGGAGCTTTCATCCACAGATGGGTTGCATTGAATTCTCCCAAGTTATTAAGGGTACAGCTTACGTCCTTCAGAGTGATTTTGTCCATGTCCAGATCGGTATGATTGGGATGATGCTCCAACACTACCATCATATACTCGTGAGTACATTCGACGGACAGGGCTAAGATAACAAAGATGATAAAACATTGAATACCACACTACTGGGTCCAACAATAAGTGCGTTAGCCTCATGCTCAGGATGCCATAGAACACTTTAAGTAAAACTCACTACTCCTGTTTTCTTGATAGCTAAGAGTGCCTGCCTAACCCCTTCTCCTCCAAATTGAACTTGTATCAATTTGATCGTTAAATGTTGCGCCCAGGGATAAAAAAAACCCGCGGCCAAATTTTAAAATTAAAATTTAATTTATCCTCTGGTATTGTAACCAGTCCAATTTTTTTTTCTTCTGTTGATAGTTTTAATGTACAGAACTTAACAATCCCCATAATTAACGTAAACAGAATATCTCTACAGTCTCGCTAAATTTCCGGAGGTATGGCTCAGAGACCAAAACCGTTTCTCGCGCTGATCTCACGTCTGCGTTACTTACTTTTAAAGGGACCAGAAGTTGGTGATTCTTGGCCAAAAACTGAAAATAAACAGAAAACATCAGTTTTTTGAGTGTACAACAAAGCAGGCACTACAATTTTGAACAAAACGTGTCGAAGGATGCTTGAAATAATATCTGCTCAGTTGATTTTTATTAAAAAAAATTATGTTTTTTCAAAAGGAATGCAATGTCCCTCGAATGTTCTAGCACAGTAAAAGTACAAAGACCTGGGACCTAATGTTTTCTAAAGACGTCGACATTCTTCGCGGAATTCTTCGATCTTTCTGGGCTGCTGCTTTCCCCGTCATTTACAATACCTGTCACTTCAGATATAAATATAGCTAGAAGTGGGATAACATAAAACCGCTTGAACGTTCTAAAGGTAACAAGCATTGCCGAAGGGCGTGGAAAAACGCCTAAACTCGATCGAGCAAGAAACATCGCGTGTTCTTCCTTTGCTGCGCGTGTCACGCGAGGTTTAATTCTGTGTGAACAATTTTTCTGTATCTTCCTTTTTGTTACTTAAAAGTTCTATTAGCATACTGCTGCTGCTGTATCTCGTAGTTACGCTTTCAATTTTCCCTGCATTAATAGATATGGGATTAAGACATTTACTTAAGAAGATGCAAGAAGCTAGGCTTTGTGGACTCAGGATCAGAGTGGCGACGGCTGGTTTAAACCTGTGAACCCACGAGTTAATTAAGTTGATAAACTTTGCCACCAGTTTTAATTCTTAATCAAGCAAGAATTGCAGACGTCTTTTTAAAAGCAATTAGCTTCAGAAAACGCGGTAGAAAATGACAGATAGTAATTGATATCTCATCAGGCAACGCAAGGTGGCTCCATGTGCGCCAAACACGAAACTAGAGTATGCAGAATATTGTTTGGTGAAAGCAAATTATTTCGTATTGTATATGCATTTTTTTAATATCCATATTTCAAACTATGTTTTAAGATAAAAGCTTTTAGCTAAGTGACAATAAACGGTCTACTGATCATTCAAAACATTAGCTACGAAGAAACAAATACGTTTTGCAAAGCTCACGAAAATCTGGTAGCGCGTAACGAAGGGAAGGTTGTAAACGAAAAAACTGCAAGTATGTTAGCCTAAGTTGACAAGTTGGCTGTTAAAGTTAACCACTTAAAGCTCTTGCTTTTAAGGCCATAAGCAAATTGGGCTGTGGTCTTCAGGACCTTCACTATCTTATGAAGACCCAATAAAAAAAATCAAGAAGTTTCGGGCGATTTGTTTGAGCAAGAATGAACCTTGGGAGTATGGCATCTATGATGAAAATCATATCAATATACCCCGTGACTTTTGTTTAGATTTGGATCTGCTTATATCATCGGGCGCCAACAAAGATATTAGCGATGTCAAGACCGAGACAGTTTTGACTCTCTGGTTTGTGCTCCATTTGCGCAGAGACCATTTATGACTGATAAAAATGCGCGCGGTGTTTTCAAAGGCAGGTGGCTCGTAAACAATAGAAGCACTCACTCGTTGCATCACAAGTGTGAACAAAATTCTTTGATGCGAATCAAAGCTTTGGACTATATGAATCGTTATTAGATGTATAATATTTCAGGCGTCTGAGAATCTTCTGCCTCAAAACGGTGACACACCGATATTATGAGTGTAATATCCACGTTAAAAAATTCCGCGGGACTATTTTGTTCGCTAGATCTCGATCACTCTTTCGACGACCAACACAATGAGACAAAGCACAACGCGGGAAGCCAAAGTTATCTCGGAATGAATTAAAAACGTTTTAATCTAAGCTGTTTTGACTGACCCGAAAACCTTTTTGCGACTTTTAAGTCGCGATACTTGCTTCGAAGCCCCGCGCGAAAAGCCCCGCACACACGCAAGGGTTTTCATAGCCAAAATGTCTGAAACGAGCATAGCTATATTTGACACAGCTGATATCGTAAGCCAAGTCCAAACAAAGCGAAATATTTTGTCAAAACTGTTTGTCAATACTTTCCAAAAAGGTGCCAAGGATTTAGCGATTAATATTCATTAGATTCGGAGGTTGAAAAGGCATGGGATTTGTGGTTTTCAGGTCTGATTTCAATTCAACCACACCCAAAAAAAATTTCAAGCAAAACTAGGAGAACAAAGCTACAAGTAAATTTTGAGATTCATCTAATGAAATGAACAGCGAAAGTGACTTCCATTAAAAGCGTGTAACAGAGACAAAACAAACATCACTTAATAAACTACAGCACATGTTTGCTTTCAAGCTGTATTTTATGCATATTTAACCCGGTATGCAATGGTGCGTGGCCTTGCGACCAGTCCTACAGACTCGAAGAAACGCGCAGTCTATATCTTTTTCACTTCATTCAGCGAACCAAATTCAAAATTATCAATCATTTGGGCGTGTAAGACAAAGAAACAAAAATTTAGGCCGCAGATAGCAAGCGCTGGGATGTGCAAATGAATCATCAGCGACTGAAAGAATGTTGAATGTAGCTGTCTGTCGCCGAACAAAGAGTCAAAGGATTTTGTTCAAGTTAGCTGGTCTACCGCATTGCGAAATTGTCGTAAACTTTCTCCAACTTTAAACATTAGTAAAATTAGAGCTTTGTGCAAGACATCAAGGAAAGTACGGCGCCGTTTCGCCTCAGTGCGAATTCTGGTTAGCGCGACGGAAAACTACGAAGAATTTTCTTGCACAATTCATTCCGAAGCGCGCCATAAGATCACATCAGAGTATTATTCGCGTCTATTAATCAACAAATTGTTCGTCTGTGCAAGATGTAACTGTTAAAAAAGCAAGCTTAAATCAAAATCCAAATATTTGATATACAGTAATGGAATCTTCTAGGAACCAAAGAAGTTATGACAATTTCTTACCGTTTGAAAATCCTACAAGAAGTGCAACGAGAATGTGCAGCGCCATTTTTGGTAGTAATCGCTTTAATCGGCGAATCCCTCACCAAGAAGTTTGACCGAAAGACGAATTTGGAGAATCAAAGACGAGCTGCGCTCACACCAGCTATTGCAGACGTCTAAGTATCAGCTAGCTGGGATCAAGGATGGTATTCTTTATGGGGCCGCTATTTCATTATTATTCACAAACAAGAACCAATAGTGTTTGTCTTTCACGCCTTAGTTATCACCATCCGTTTTGTTCTGGAGCGTTTGTACTAGGCGGTCCCAACATTCATTTGCATAAAATAAATGCTCTTGAGAGTGGGCAGAAACGAATGATTCAAGATGTTCTTCTTGCTCAGACGGCGCTATATAATCAAGAACTTCAAAGAACTGATATAAATTTTACAGTATTTCTTAACAATCGAGATCGCTACATCCTGTAGAGAATTCAACCGCGTACCACGCATAATTTATTCAATTTTGAAGTCCTGTGCTTTATGTGTGTCGTGAATAAATCACAGTGACATTCGCACTCTGACAATCAGATGACAAATTTTATTACACATAATTTATATTACACATAATCTCTAAGGGAAACGATACAATAAACTAACTCAAAGAACTATAATTTGAATAGTTACAAGTTACAAGAACACAGTTGCCGTGAGAATTGAAGGCAGTAACATACTTGTGTCTTCTTCTTTCAGAAACTTATTGTGCAAGTGTTTTCACATGATTAGCTGGTATCTGCATGAAAACAAACAAAGCTTTGCTATTCCCAAAGTCCTCACAGGGCGTTACAGCACTCTGCAACTCAACAAGGCTCTTATGTTTTAAAACAGTATTTAGCAGCACTTGATTAAAACTACAGCTTTCCTCGAGATTTCGTAAGCGCGGCAGCACTTGATTTCCCTCGAGGTTTCGTAAGCGCGGCAGCACTTGATTTCCATCGAAATTTCCCGTGAGAGAGCAGCGCTTGTTGAGTTTTAAACAGAGCGAGAAACTAAACGAATAGATATTACAGCGGATTATTATACTGCCCGAGGCAATAAAAGTTTTAGATTACTGGTGGATGAAAGCATAATTGCAATAAACTGGCTTACAATATTGGTTGAAAAGAGTAAATCCACGCCATCAAACAAATACATATCGGTTAAAATAAATTTCATGTTTTTTTGCCGTTACGTTTTTAGCAAAAACTACATATGTGAACTGAAAGAGCATATTTTGAAATAAAGCTTGTAAAAGGTTATCGTCTCAACATTTACCACCTATAAAGCAATTCAATTTGTTAATTTTAGAAATTAGACTCACAGCATGAAAAACCGATTAAAGTCACTTGGTCAGCGTACTTCGAAAATACCGATCTCGTTGGATTTTTTTTCAACTTTTTTTTCTTTCTAAAAAGACATTTATTGAGCAACAAAGATCTAGTCGTCCATGATGTGTTATCCTTCTTTGTCCAGTACAAAGCCGATTTTCTTTAGGACCGCAATTAGGCCTTCTATAGAGGTACAGCACATATGTGATTCGCCAGTTGCAGTCAACTGAGAACTTAACTGTGTTGGTACTCTCAAGGTTTTGTCAATTGTAGCTGGATTTACTTGAACCATCAGTAAAAAATGCTCTAATGAACGGAGCTTTAATCAGGCGCTAATTTTCCTCAGCGTGCTCTGTTGACGGCCTCAACGGAACTTCATAGACTAAAGGATAAACCGGCCTATAATATGATTTGACCTGAATGCTTTTACTACCGCTCCACGCCGATACTATATCAGAACATAAAACCCACTATTAGTCACTTGCCATATGGTACCCCTCACAACCAAACACTTTCCGCAGATTACATGAATAACGCCTCAAACCGTCGCTAAGAGCTCTTTAATTCATGAACCACTGAATCAATCACAATGTTATCTCGACTTTGCAAATAATGAATATCCTGTTTTTAAAGCGCCAAAGTACAATGTCCTAGATTAAGCTTTTTGTTTAAGCAGAAGTAAACCACGAGGTTTTGTTAATTTACTTCTGTGTACCGGACATTCGGTATAAATTACGCAGGCCATGGTTTCAGCGAGCTTCACAGAAATTGACAGTGAAATTAATTTCGACTAGACTTTCTTTCAAATTCTACCCGAATAAGGATCTTGATTTGTCTCCTGCATAGAATCTCACGTACAAAGAGGAAATAGGAAGTCAGTTAGGTTGAAAATGATATTTATAGACCAAAAGTCACAACGAAAATATGTCATTGAGGAGTTAGAAGCAAATGCGTCGCGCATTTAATTGTTCTGTGAAAGTCAATTAACTTATGAAGCTAAGAAAATGAAAGAAAGAGCAGTCAGCCAGACAAAATTTATTAAATTTTTGAGTTCAATGCAAACATTTACGGTAAATCATTTTAATGATATGTCTATCATATCGTTCATTTGTGACACAGTTGTCTAGAGAATCCTGGAATTCAAACCCGTTAACGGAAAAACAGATTATAGAGCTCTTAACGGAGCTTAAATCTTCCCGAAAAATTTTCATTCACGAGACCAAGCTCTCTTTAAGAGGAGTTAATTTTCAGTCAAAACAGTCTAGCCTATGATTAAATTAGCCACGTCTTGGTCTGCTAGAGGATTTCGCTTCACACCCAAATCTTTGAAATACACTTGTCTAAACCGTACAATCTTAAGACAAAGGAAAAGCAGACAGGTTATGCATAGGCAGACTAAAATTGGCTTCGTTCAGACTTGTAATCAGATAAAAAATAACGCAGGAACCCCGGTTGTTTTATCTTTGGGAGCGTTATACATTCAAGACACAGGCTCGTTGTTTTGTGTCTTCTTCCCCGTGGGGGGTGGGTTTTAGCGACACTTATTGTCTCAGTCACACTTTGCGTACCGTTTCGTCTACAGAACCACGCTGACTCTTAACAACTAAAGGATTATTTTGTGTTGTGCAAAAAAAAAATAATTACCCCCTTTAGGCCGTGAACCACGACAGCCATTAGGTTCTCATATTCATAAAGGAAAAAGTGTTTATAAATAGAAAAAAAAAGCGGAAAATAAATAGAGGAAAAGGAGAGACATATCCACCGTCATTGCACATGTTCCATATCGTGACAACGCTGTACTATCACAAAACAACGTATGAATTAGTAAATTTATGGGGTGAGGCAACTTATGACCGAGGCTTGAAGTTTCAAATCTTCTTTAAAAGGAAGGTGTCATGTACAGAAGAAAGAAAAACGAGGAAAAATTTCACTTACATCTTTTCCTTGAAAAGCTTGGTCACTAAGGAATTGATCGGATTTAAAACTAGCTCATATCTGATGATAGTTTATCAGAAACACAATTAAAAATATTAGAAAAATGAGGTAAATTTATACAATACTAAGAGTTTTCGAGCTCTAGATTTAATGGGAAAGAAGTCTGCCGAAACGACCCGGGACGGCGGTTCGCGGGTAACTTAGCAATTCGGCCCAATCCTCTCGGAAGACAGCGTCCTATTTCAGATTTCATATATTTCAGTCTATGAAGAAAACGAGCTCAGAGAACCAAAGCAATACGCTTCTAGGTAAAAAAAATAAAATAAAAAAAGAAAGAGTATGATTCAACTAAAAGTCATGGAGTGGTGAATCCAACGAAGATCAAGATTCAAAGCAAACAACTGATTAAAAAATGAAAAGCCAAATCTATCTTGAGGGTCTTCTTTATGATCTATTAGAGGACAGACGCATATACTGAACGTAAAAATTTATACTTTTTTTTCTTCTTTACTGTATAAAACAAATAAATTCTATGTTGCCGTGCATCATTTCAGTAATAGAACATAAAAAACGCCACCGGATGTGGTGAGAACTAACATCAGTGACAATCAACTGCACCTCATGTTAACATTCGGTTGCACCTCGCGCGGACATTCGGCTGCACTTCGCGCGGACATTCGGCTGCTCCTCGCGTGCCACTTCTTTGTTCATAACACATTTATTATTGAACAGAAGTACGGCAACATGGAATATATTTGTTTTACTGTCCCCTTCAAATCGGTTTTTTTTATGGACTACTGAAAAGACGCTTTTCAAGTCAGAGGAAGTTCTAGGATATTATTTAAACGTATGCCCGCCCAATCTCACGTGAGAGCACATTGCTCGAAGTTTAAGTAGTTGGCCTGTGAAGCTTCTCATAAAAGCTAATGCAGTGTGAAGCACTCTTGATGAAAGAGATTTGACCCTTGAGCATTATCACAACATTTCGATCTTTTATCAAGGGCCTCTTACACATGCAGCTACAAGCACTCTATGGAGAGTATTGATCACTATTTAAAGCTCCACTCTTGTGCCGGTCGTTTTCGATCGTGATAAAGTGTGGCTTAATAGAGGTATTTCGTGACTTTCTGAAAGAATGGCACAGACTGATCGATATTTCGATTTTGGATGGAATCATAATGACACATTTAGCAACGGAAGTCATTTATAGAGTCAGATTGTTTAAGGATGACGAGTAGAACACGTGATCACGCGACAGAAAAGTAGTTGGCGAGAATTTGACACTTATGAAAAGGTGCAAGTGTTTGATCACCTGGGACATTTGACTTCCCTTCGCTTTTTGAACCTGTTTTAGTTGGTTACTTTTTTGCGTGAATTCTCGATGTTTTCGTTCTTTCGCATCCCACCGAAAGCTATTAACCGCAATCATACGCTATAAATCAACGTCTTGTGCGTTTTCAGCCTCGGGTATTCCAACTGAACTAAATATTACCTGCTCGATTAAGCAGAACGTACTCTTCAAACTAATGTGCAACTTGTTCACATAAGCTTTTCATGTACTTCAAACTTTATCTTTCAAATATCAGCATCACGTATCTGCAAAAGAAGTCAATGTCAACGCGTTTTTTCTTATGACTTTTCGAGTCTAAGTCAAGACACCAGTTCTGATATTTTGCCAAATTTTCACGTTCTTCCTTAAAAACTGATAAATATTCGTTCTTGCTCGCTAGCTCCGGCCTTTACAACACCTGATAACCCCTGATAACCTTCATGGCGACTCAGACATCACAAACAAATCTATTTGGTAAATTTATACAAATTGGATTATAATTAACTTCTTTATCGGGTGAGATCAGTATGTCAATCAATTTTGTACTTAAGAAACAATAATTGGGTGGACAACGTGCTGTGACTGATAGGCTTCCATGTTTTTCTGGTACTTGCTCTTTTGTTTCAGTAAGTTATGCGCGATTTTTCCGGCGCGTCCATTGTTGAAAATTCACCGTAGGAGAGTAATTCAATTGTTTTTGTTTGTTTTTTTTTTTTCAATAATTTGAAATAGAAGTTGAAATCAATGTTTAAAAACTTTTCACATCTGGAATTTTCTTCAATGTTTATGCATATCAAAATTATGCCACGTCTAATAAGGTTATCAAAAAATCTACATAAATTTATCCGTGATCTAACTCAAGAGGAAAGTTCTAGTCACGAAACCGCGTGACAAAGCCAATGGGTCAGCGGGTTTTCCCGAAATGACTCCGACTCGTGTTGACTAAAAAAAGTTAAAGACACGCTTCTCAAGCACTCCAGCTGATTGGATTTGTCGCTATATGTGGTAGAAATATCGCGTTGCAGTGTCTGAGGATACAGTTTCAGATTTTCGCAGCCAGACATTGTTTTTTCAAAGGCTTTACTAAACAGGCTTTACAGGAGTTGGCGCCGCTTTCGTCGAGAGAGAAGGTTTTTGTTGACCATTGTGAATTTGCCCCAAGCAACTTGGAATTATTGTCACTGGTTTATGGAAATGGTTCCCGACACCACAATTATCCTCAGGAAATGCTTTGCCCAGATTTTCTTGGCTCTTTTGACCGTCGTGACAGTTCATGCTAGTAAGTAAAGATTGTAACGGAGTAAGATTAATATAAACAACCCTGGCGTGAAATTCACGCACTCAAAGTTGCTCCATCTGCGCTCTTGCTTCAAATAATACGCACTCACATTGAGAAAGAAAATTTTGAATTAGCATTTGAGTGGACCTCACATGAGCTGATCTTATGATTTATTTGGTTTATGTTCAGTTTCTCCTGTGGTGAGCACTGTACGATTCGATAGAAAAGCTCTTGTTTGATCACAAACACTTTTCAAATTATCTTGTTTCACGTGTTTAGCGGCTACCTCGGTTTTTATGCTTCTGTTTCGTCGCATCTCGCTCTAAATCTATGCATTAAGAACCACTTTCTGTTGGGGGCATCTCTTGAGAACTCTACTTATAACATCAGTCGCAATTTCGTTCGACTGAGTTGACTGTATTTGATTCTCAACATCATACAAACACTGTTTACTTCGTGTATTTGTTGAACTTAAAAAAATATATCTTTTTGTCTTCATTATACATAAGTACGCTTTGCCATTACGCTTTCACCCCAGAATGTAGTGCAGATGAGAAAACTTCTCTTTACAGGTAAATATCAAATGTATTGTCCGGCAAGCGCTGTTGTGCAATTCGAGAACGAACGAACGTTTATGTCTTGGTGTCTGTTTTGACACCTTTGTGAACGAATCTCAAATACAACATACATCGTTTCGTGGCGTATAACAGTCTTTAAGCGTTCTACTTCTCAGAAATCATTTAGAACTGTCATTGACTTCTTCAAGCTTGAATTGTTTTTAACAGAGAAAGCGTTTTATGCAACGACGAATTTTAATGAAAGATTAATATCCAATAAGCTGTCGGTGAAAGATACTGAGTGATGATAAAACTGAGTCGTTGACAGATTGGCCATGGGATCTTTTTGATAAACCCAAGACGTTTATGACAAGAACTATGGCTGGCACTTATTTTTATAACATTCTTTCAACTTAGCGAATGCGTTGTCAGGGATTGCCGAAAAATAATCTTAAAAAGTTTGCATTGTGCATGGCTTCCATTGCCGAAATATTTTGACATCGTGAAACTCGGATGACAAGTTCTTCTTAAATACCTAATGAATATGTTTTATTTCTTTCATTGTACAAAGATCGTAATTTGAGTGGTTCGATGATGAAAATCAAACTGAAAAGTTTGCATTGTAAAATGTCTCCATTGCTTAAATATTTCGACGTTGTGAGGCAAAAATATTAATTACTCCTTTTATACTAAATGACTGTTTTATTTCGTTTATTCTCCAATAATCATTTCACGACAAAAAAATCAAGATACTGCTTCCATGCAAAATGAAGCTCTTAGCGTCTAGTTTTCGAGCAATCCTGCATATTCTGTCATGCATGGAAAATTAATCCATTAATATGTTCAAAATGGTTCTCTTGTGCATTAATAATAACCCACACATATGAACAAGATCAAAAAATACACCATATTCGCGGTTTAAATTCGATCGCCTCAAGTAGGTCATTGTCGCTTTTTTCAATATTAGTACGACCGGCCGGTCTAGTATTTATTTTTTATAAACCCGCTAATTGAGAAAATGTTGGCTCTGATCATGTTGTTGTGTGTTTCTTGATGTAAATATAAAATTATACTTACAAATTTTTGTCTAGAAACTGCTGCGGCGGCTTTCACACCCGATGTCGAATAATTTCAATCCTTAAATTTTCGCTTCGACAGTACTCTTTCCGCTCAAAAAGTTTTCTAGAATATAGGGGGTAAAGAAACTGTGGTGTTGCGTCGGTGGGAGAGTATAACAGGGTAATTTAGTGCTGTTAACTGGATTGAAAACATAAATTGGCCATCGTAAAGGCCGACGTTTCGAGCTTCGTCATCGATTTGACGAAGGGCTAACGCTCTTGAGTAAATTCCAGCCAGTTCTTCACGAAATTTTAGAAATGGTGTAAAGTGTTAGAGGTGAATTGTTTGGGGAGTTATTTACGATGGCATGGCTTCATGTAGGGGAAACATTTGAAATGCTTCGTAAAACTTAAAAAAATCGCTAATAATCCCTGTGCGGGTGTGTCAGATTAGTAAGACGAGACGACACAAAGATGGTATTGTAGGCGATCTTTCAGCTTTCTAACGAACAAATAGCAATTGGAGGCGACACATTTTAGGCATATTTTCTCAGTTCAGTCTAGCAGCTGGTTGCAATGTCGACTAGATTTTTCGTTCAGACGGAAACATGAAGTTTCTGCTCGAGAGAAAGCGTAACTTTTAAGGATTGCTGTCTAAAGTTTATGCGATGCTGAATAACACTAGATTAGAGTGTTATTCCGGTAATTTGGTGTAGCATCGATGCTAGAAAGAGTTTTAAGTTTGCTGTGAAGTCAGTTGTAATCTATTCACAGTACAATGGCCTACAACTGGTAGATTTGTTTTTCATGCTGTGGATGTCATGTCTGTGAACTTCCAATTTGGTTGTCTCCCATGGAACTTTTGAGAAAGTCGTGCCTCGGAGTACAGTACAAATAAACTCAATTTATAATCAATCAATCATTTATTTTAATTAACGTTATTTACTTCGTAAATCTAGGCTCTCAGAGTTCTGAAGACGAGCTAAGACTCTTTATTTACTTGCTCGTCAAACTGCCTACGAACGATTCATAAAATTGGAACCAATCTAAAAGAATGGAGACGAAATCATGTCAAAACACACTGAATTGTTTACATCGTGAAACCACATCATTGACTTAACTGTAATTGTGTTTTTAATTAATAGTAGACGGTTCAATGACGTTATCGTGTGAGCTTGACGCTTCAGGCTGTGAATTTATTTCCCAAATTTCTCGAAAGGCACTTGTTAGGTGAAGTTAAAAAGTGTTGAAAATATGACTAGACCCGGACCTGGAAACTGGGTTGAGTGCATAAAATCGAGGCCCACGTATAGCGGAGACACACGCGCACAGCTTTGCTCGTGTAACTCCTCGCACGCGTGGGGCTGCGTATCTGAAACAACAGGGTGAAACGCTGGGCATGCGCGAGGAGATCAATTCTGGCCATCCGCGCCCCAATTTCCCGCGCAAAATGTCATAGGAAAACACAAGAAAAAACAACCGTTGTCTCGTAAAATGAGCAAAAGAAAGTTGTAACGTTCATAGATAACGGTGACAATGATAGTGAAAAGGAAACTCAAGACTTATTGAAGTACAGGTATCCTCTGTACTTACCATTCCGTTTTGAGCTTTATCAAAAAGTTATGCGCTCTAAAAAACACCGAGACTTATTAGCTTGTGCGGTTGTTTGTAACTTGTAAGAAACAACTTGGTTCTGACAGCCAGAAAGCATCCTACCCTAGCGAGACACGGCGGCAAAATGATTGTGTAGCTCCGCCACTGGAGCCATTTGAGCGTTGAAGGCTGCGAGTCTTCTTCTGCAAAACATAAGCTGACGCCGGTTTTTCGCCGAGACAACAATTGTCTAGGGTTTTTCTCCAGGGGTTTGCTTACTGTGGGGGCGATGACAAGAAGCGCTAGAAGTGATAACAGATGCTACGCACTCATTTGACTCATGTGACCGCTGTGTCACCAAGTCATTACAACTTTGGCTCATGCATAGACATTTGACCGCTGTATTTACCCCGCCTCGCAGAATATTCGCGCCCTCTCGCGAGAGGAACTGCGGGTTGACTGAATTTAAAAGTAGGTTCTCTTGACGAGAAGTCTGAGGGGAAGCCAAAGACAAGATTTTCTCTTAGTTCCAATCCCCTATTATTTCATCTGTTAAAATTAAGTTTTTCTCCCCATTTGTGTTGTATAGCATAAAATATATTGACGTAAAACGCTTTCTCTCTCAGGCAACGGTTATCAAGGCTTGCGCGTGCGTTGTAAACCAGATTACATGGAATTGACTCTCACGCGAAAGCACTATGCAAGGATCGATCCAGCCACTCTCCGCCTCACAGACCCCAGTTGTGGTCCTTATTTTTATAACAGCTCCATTATGGTCATAAGAGCACCGCTGGGTGGATGTGGCACCAAGGCCGGTCCGGAGAGAAACTTACTGGGATTTCGTAATGAAGTATACGCGGATCTCATTGGTAGATCTCCCATCGCACGAGAACCTGCATATCAGTTTCGCCTGCATTGTTTATACTACACAACTGCGAAAATAATGCTGCATTCCTTCAAACCTGACACAAAAGTCATTGTTGAACCACCAACAGGTAAGACCTCGTTAACCCCTAAACTCCCATGAGCGACCAAGGCAAAATTTCTCCTTACAAAATGGATAAAATGTCAAGCAGACAAGTGATGAATCAAGAAAAATATCGATTAGGGGGATTATTTGTTGATCCCATACCAAATTCTCCAAAGTAACATCATTATAACTATGGCAGACAGTGAGGAGAATCACTAAAGAGATCTTGGGATTGAAAAGGTTATAATGCTCAGAAAACAATGCATAAAATTTCCTAAAAGGCGAGTTTGTCGAGGTTTTCTCTCTTCTATCTTGAAAACATCGCTAGATCCTCAGGGATTGAAGCTAAATGTCTGGTACAACTTAGGTTACAACGAAATGTTAAATTTGACTGCAGGGGAAAATTGCGAATTTTCGAAGCTCCTGAAGGGGGGGGGGGGGGGGGGGGGGGGGGGGGGGGGGAGAGGAAATACAATGTTGTAGTCGCAAATTGAGGAAAGTTTGGGATTATATTGTATCAGGAGGTTTGAAAGGTCAGAGCAAAATTGAATATTTTGTTTGGGAAAGGGAAGCCACTATCACGAATTACGAGAAAGTGAGTGTTCAAATTGTGGGGGTTCTACTGTATAGCGTCAGTACATTTAGGATTTAAAATCATGACTCTTTTTCACCTTTAGTTAGGATCAAAGTTAGTATTTGAAGAACTGCGGACCTACCCCTCCCCTAACCCAACATTAACCCTAACTTGTTATCAGTTGACTGTTTTGGGATTAGGAGAGGGGTAGGTGGGCAGCTGCTCAGATACTTACATCGATCCGAAAGTTGTGTCGTTCTAGACACCGTGCACTATAAACCTCGTTCTCACCGCTACTTGCCCCTAAGTGGCGAGAATTACAAAAGGTCGTTGGTAAAATTTGAAGTATTTTAAACTTTAATAACGTATTACTTCCCCTATTTTTTTCTCTCCTTGCTCTCTCATTGGTTAGAATTTGGGAACTTCACATTTGAAACCAACATGTTCCAAACGGACAAGTACATTAGCCAATATACTCAATTTCCGGTGAAAGTTCATGTCAGTGAAAGTGTTTATCTGCAAGTGAGAGTGAAATCCAATGCATCAGGCTTGTCGATGCTTCTCGAAAACTGCTGGGCAACGCCAACACCAACATCAACACCAACACCGAATGCTAACGACTCAGGGGTCTACTGGTTGATAGAGGAGGGGTAAGGATTACTTTTTTTCATGTTCCTATGGTAGAATGTTAAAAAAAATGTGAAAAAAGCCTTTAGAACGTCTTTCGTTGCTTTGCAACCCTCTCCAACAAAAAACTCTGTAACGAAGAGCTCCGTGCCATTAAGCGGGCGTGAGGCCCTGTAGCTCAAACAGACCTAACCCTTTTTACTTTTTTTCTCAGATGCCCTAAGACGGAATACTTAAACTACAAAGTATCGGATACAGTTTATCAGCGGTTCAGTTTTTCAGCGTTTAAAATAGAGGGGTCAGAAGTAGTGTATCTTCACTGTGAGGTACTCATCTGCGCTGAAAACTCCGGGAACAAAACGCGTTGCGCCGAAGGTTGCACAAAAGACCTTGGCAACAGCAGAAGGCGGCGGGATGCATCGAATCAAGACCAGCGCAAGGGAGTTACTTCTTTGGGTCCGTTAAAGATCCTTACAGACAGACTTGAAGTTCAACCACCGGGTGAAGGTATGCGTTAAGACTGAGAGGTGGTATCAAAGAGGCACGAGCTTGATTCCCGTCCAAGCCTGAATCTTTAAAGCCTTCTTTATCACTTCCTTTTTAGTTATCGTCCATATATGAAAATATGATAAATTCTCTTTATCTGTAACTGTAATATTCTACTCTAATATATTCGTTTTCTCTGCATTAAGGTAAGACACGTTCCCAGTCCACGCAAGTTACACTTGAGATCCGAGCAGGACTACTGGCGTTCTTGTTGGCCTTCCTTCCGTGGATGTAATCAACTGTCAATCACTCATCACAGCCAATCACAGCTAGAGACGTCAAAGTCACATGACTGACGACAACACGCGCCATTATTATAAATCATTGAAAGAAATGCGAAAAGATTTGGCAGATTAGTACTGATTTTAGGGAGGTAAAGAAAAAAAAATCAAGAATGGTAGTCGTATAAAATTGTTAAATATGTAGATACGGGTGAGTGTGAGAGCAAGACTAGCACTTAGTTAACTTACGACATCCTTAATGTGAAAATGAAAATTCTCCTTGCCTGTCTCATGCAACATATCGGAGCGCACGTGGGGAGAATTTGGTGTGTTATCAAGGCAGCACGCCTTTAGTGAGGACAGACCGTTTTAGCTTTGAGTGGGGTTTTGGGTATTAGTGGGCAAAACGCAACGAAAAAAATTCTCAATAACAGAAAAAGGGCTGTACATCGGAAAGAAAGGCCTATAGGAAATTTAGAAACGGAGAGAGAGGGGGAAGAGATCTACCATCGGGACTGGTGGGGGAGGGGAGGGAAGGTCAGAGGATGTCGTCTGTGTCATGATGGAATTTACATAGGGCGTGTGATATTCCTTAGAGTCCCCCTCCCCCTCTGATTCCCCTGGAAACCATGTGATCCCCCAAACTCTTTTGCCCTTCCCCTCCCCCCAGCCGATGAATGATGACAGGTCTTTCAATCACGCCTGCTTGGAAAAGGAAAACTTCACATCGAACGAGAAAAAAAGGAAAAAGATTTTCTTGGAAAACCTTTTTGAAAAGAGTTGATCGGATGAAATATTTTCAGCAGTACGTTACGAAGGTGAAGAGTATTGATTGTTTATCAGTGTGTATTTAGCCTCAAATAAGGTAGAAATGATGTAAAACATTTAAAAGATGTTCGAAGAATTTCATGATGGTTCAAGTTATGTGCCGCCGAAATGAGTTTTCTGCTTTCTAATTTTTAGAAATTTTCCTTGAAAAATATTTATCAAAAATAGTCTTCATGTGACGCTTTTAAAAGTGCTAAATAGGCTTACGTAGCTTGGGCGTGGCTAAGGCTCCCAGTTGGTAGGGCCTTGGGCATGCAAACGCCGAACGAGCTAAGGAAACTTAAATGAGAGGGGCTTGGGGAGGTTTTCTTTTTCGCCCATCCGCGTCCTTTCTACGCTCTGGGTTATGTTAAATTTATGAAGGCTGGGCCGTGTTAAACAAAATATTTTATCACATGATTTTTAAATTTATATATATATAATCAATCTGAAATCATTCGCAATCATTTTCGCAATATAGCTGGCAAGCATAAGTCTTTTTTATGTTTAGTACCATGATATTTTTCATTAATTATTTTGCTTACTATAGTCAGAACGTCTGAAAGACGTGAAACCTAGATTTAAAGCGCAAATAAGTGGAAAATAAGCTATTGTGGATTAAGTTTTTTAGATAAACTGATTTCAGCGTGTGTGTTTTAAAAATAAAATAATGTTTTTGAACTGTTTTTCATGATGAAAGATTAACGTAGGTTTAAGAAGGGCCGGAATGGTTTTTCCACGTCTTCTCAAATTTTTTTCAGGAGAAATTGCTCATCGTTTCTCAACGGTAACTGTTTTTAGCGTGTGACTTAACGCTCGTGACACGTGTTGCGTAACTACTCATTTAAAGTCACAGAAGGGATGGAAGTTACAATTCGGACATTTTAATCAAATTCTCAAGTTGAAAAATAACTGTAAGAAGCAGTTTTCTTGTTATAAAGGAATAACAATAGCAAATGCTGAGTAACTGCAAGCATAAAAAGGAAGTAGACGAGAAAAAGAACTTTGAACGCTAGGTAAACTTACCTCAGCTAATATTCCCCTTACGTAATAGATATCCAAAATGGTGACGTTACAAAATATTAGCTGTGTCTTGGAAAGCTTTGTTTGACCATTCTAGGTCACAGGAAACCCAAGTTATGTATGCATGGAAAATAAGAAAAGAATCAATATTCCTTCAATATACCTCTTGTTAACACTTGAGCTCCCATGAATGATCAAGACAGAATTTCTCCTAACAGTACCAACACAATGTCAAGCAGACGAGTCATGAGAATAAAGAAAAATATGAATTATGGGATAATTAGTTCCTTAATTAGTTCCTTAGTTGATCCATTCACAAATTCTCCTAATTAACATCACAAAAATTGTTTGGCAGACAGAAAGAAGAATTACAATTGAGATCTCGGGGGTGAAAGGGTTAAATAATGCTAGTTGGCACTGGTATTGAATTCAAATTAATCATCCAATATTACATGGCGAAAAATAAAATACACCTTAATTAATTGCTTTGTGTCTATTGTGTTTAACTCGTTATTTCAAATTTTGAAACTTCTATCTATTTTACACCAACCTCTGGAATCTTCAAAACATTCTAGTTTGGGGAGGGGAGAGTGGGCTTCACTAGGTTTTGTATGAAAAGGATCCCCTCAGGTCCCAAACCCCTACCAGTCAACAAATTGTCACCCAAGAGCAGATGATACCCCTGACAAAGAGTAAAATCGCTGTGTACCATTCAGGATATTTATAGATAATACAATGATAGAGGAAAACCAAAAACAATTTTTCCCAACCCTTTTCAGTCAAACTTACCTTGTGAAATTTAAATCTACCCTCCTGCATTCCCTAAGTCTGCAAAAGTTATCTCTTACCCTTTTAAGCAGAGTTGAAGATTCTGTAACTGCACAGATTCCATTGTTAGATTCACGAAAATCTGTCAAATGTGTGGGCGTTAAGTCCTTTTAACAATATCCCCTAAGTTGACCCTTACAAACCAGATAACCACTGATAAAATGGCAATCCATTAAATGAGTTTTTAATACTGCAATTCAATGGAAATCTTTAAAAATACAGCATTCTAGTCTACAATTATTTTAAAGAGTGCTGTGAATCAACATCAGTGAATACAACACTCTAATCAGGCATTTTTTAAACAAATTCTTGAATGGCATCATTAACTACAGCATAATATATAACCCTTTGACCCTTCAACTCCCAGACCAAGTTTGTAATTCTCCTTACTGTCAACCATACAAATTTTACAATGTTAGTTCAGAGAATTTAGTATTGGATCAACTACTTATCTCCAAATTGAAAAGCAGAGCAGATAGATAATACAAAATGACCAACTGTCCAAATAACTGTACAATCTTGCATGATATTTTTACTCTTTTGTGGGTTATTTGTACTCTACGTACTTTGTGCAGTTGGATAATAATCTACAAGTACTATAGCACTTCCAATAAACATCATTAACTACAACATTCTAAACTGAGATTTAATCAACAGCATTTGTTATTGATGTCATCATTTCTGCACTCTGTAGCATTTTGTTCAAAAAGCACTTCCAATCAACATCATTAAATAAAGCATTCTAATCTACCATTTTTTAAAAATAGCATTTTTATGCAATGTCAAAATACAGAATTCTAACCTTGGATCAGCATTTCTAATCAACTTAAGTAATGTACTTAATGTACTCTGAGACTTTTCTCTAACAGAATTTACGTCATTTATAAAGGACTCTAGAATTACATTTTACCAACAAGTATTTCTAATCAGCATCTTGATATGAAGAATTCTGATCTAATATATTTTTTTTAAAACTGCATTCATAGTTCACATGACAAAATACAGCAATCCAATGCGGATTTTTTTAAAACAGCATTTCTAATCAAAATCACTAAATACAGCATTATAATCTAAGATTTTTCACATTAGCCTTTCTGATCAACATAAGCAAATAAAAAAATTATACTCCCAGATTTTTTAAAACAGCATTCCAAATCAGTATTAAATCAGACAAATCTGATATACGATGTAAAAAAAAAAAACCAGCATTTCTCATCTACAGCTTTCTATTATAATTTTCCTAATAAAAAAATTTTTTATTCTAAACGACATACTAAATTCAAAGCAGAGCCCTTTACAATATGACTTCTAATTATAGTCTTCTCATCTAAATTGCAAACACTAAAGCATTGTAAGATATTTTAACTAATGCTTTCTGATCAACACCATACAGGAATAAAGCATTCCATTCCTTCATTTGTTGGATAGCTTGTACTTATCTTGTAACTTACTTTTAGTTTAAGATCTTATCTTAAAATAAAAGTAAACAAATTGTTTTCTAAATTACAATATTCCATTACGAATCTGAAATATTTGATTAACACTAATATACACTATTGTCTTTAAATGACACATTCTAAGCTGAGATATCTGTTAAACAGGACAATATATTGTTTATTCTAACTGACCAGGACAAATGCAGTTTTCAGGTAGCATAAAGCAGGTGAGAGGAACTACAGAAAATGCTAACTCAGTGCAAAAAAAGTAACAAAACTGTTCAGACAGGCTTTGGAATGTTTATGCCCCTTTAAAACTTAAAAACATGAAAAAATAATTGTAATTTCAAATAAATTGTGCGTTTTAGCTAAACACACAATAAAATTGCCAGGAGTGACTTTCTTAAGCTAATAAATTAACCTGACTAAATTGTGCCAATGAAATCCTTGAATTCATAGGCATTGCACATAGTATTGCAAAAGGATAGTTCCTTAGTGATAATATTAGAGGGAGCACATTAACAGTCATTTGATACAAATTTTGACAATTTGTCCTCTTTGAGTAAAATATTCGGAGCAACCATTTTGAATATTTCAGTTAAAATGTCAAAGTATCATAAAAACTTGAGTTTAAAAAAATTCTTGTCATAAATCTACCATTCTACCAACATAACAAAAATATTTGGATGCCCACAGTTTTCTGAATACAACCATGTTTGGGATCATTTTTCAACTACCAGGCAGACTGTTTGGCAAGAGCTTTATGAGGAAACTAATTTGTACTTGTATGAATAGTAAACACTACCTTGTAGATGTCAACATGCAGAAAAATTGACCAAAGATGAAGAAGAAAGTCTTTAGCTGACTAAGGAGGTTGAATTGTCTGATTATTCTACACCTCTTCATCTAATTGTTCCTTTAATAAAAAGTCTGCAAGGCCTATGTTTTTTTCCTAAAACCTTACTTTAAACAATAGGACAGTTAGTGACCTTTCTACATCAAGCGCTGATTAATTAGAAGCTTCAACATCCCCCTAAGAATCCACAGGCATTTGACTGCTATCTGTGCCTGATTGATGAAGCATTTGAACCAGAAGTGTCATATCTCTCCAGCATAGTACATAGTTATTGGAGGAGTTTTAAGGTAAAGAATCTGCTTTTGTGAGTGAAAGGCTCAGAAAGACAATTTTCACAATGTAAAAAGACGCTTACAAAACAAAAACCCCTAAACAGCAGCACCAAAAACTAACATGTGACTTTGCTGGATTCTACAACATTTGTTGATCAAATAAAGAATCATCAAATATTGGGTGGGGCATTTAAATGAAAAAAAAAACAAAAAACAATAAGTCCTACTAGGTGTTACCCATCAAACTCTACCACGTAACCTGCATTACCCCTAACTTAACCTTTTTGTGCGTGGTGAACTTGGATAGATGTGTGTTAAAGTGGAAAATTTAGGGAAGAACAAGGGTAGACGTTGATGAACGTGGCTGACCAGGGGTAGATGTGAGCAAACTTGGTAGCTTTAGGCAGATGTTGGTCAGCAAAGAAAAACGAGGCTAACTTAGGCAAGATGAGTCCAAAAGTGGTAGGGGACGAGTGTTTTTTACCATTTAATGGACTCATATTTACAAAATAAACTTTACATTTAAAATTATTCACCACTTCAATTTCACAATCGACTTGGTAATAAATATTCTTTACTACACCGATTGTCTATCCTTTTGGTATTTTAGAACAATGTTTTAATTAACTAATCATCCAGCCTTCTTTTCTGTTTTTCCTTTAACTTCCAAGCTCCATTTCTTATTGAAGTGGTAGATATACAGCTTCACTAAGAACATCTCTCTATGTTCAATTCTTTCCCCCTTGTTTAAGCATAGCAAAGACTTTTGTGTTTCTGAGAAGGGCAGCTGTTTCTACAATGCAAGCGAGAACCAAAAATGTTATCAATAGCCACCCATACTTTAATTACTCAACAGAGTTTTACACTCAACTCTTTAATCCCTTTAAGAGTGACCAGCATCTAATTTCTCCTTACATTAATGCTGCTGAATCATTAATTAGGATCATGAGAATACAGGAAATGATCTCCAACCTAATAAACTTTGATCATTAAACAAATTCTCCTTGTCAGCACCTTAGGAAATGTATAGAGAACAGTATGGAGAATATGCACACTGATGTTAGGATGTAAAGGGTCAAAAACTCACCATGTGGTGAAGTAAAAAAATAAATTAGTGGCCAGACATAGCAGATTGGAGTGCCACTCAGTGAGGAAACTACAGCAGAATTCAGCTCAACTCAAATTGTTTGCTCAGGGAAACCAGGATTGATCAAGAAAATAAGGATTCAAAGTAAGCTGACAGTAAAAAAATACCTGGAAAATGAACTTTGAGAGAAACACAACACAATTTGGTTTTAATAATCAACTGAGTTGATAATGTGAATGGCCACTGTAAAGAGTTTCTTATTGACGAGCAAATTGCTTTGACGAAGGGCTAACCCTTGAAATGCCAGCTTTAGAAACTCCTTACTGTCCCAAATTTACATTACCAACTAAATTGTCTTGTAAAATCTTCCCCGAGCACAGTACCACAGTTTAATTGAGGGCAATAAATGGCTATGGGTTTGTATTTACAGGAAATTTGGGTCAACCAAATTCAAGTTAGTGGTTGTTTTTCAAGCAAGGAATGTTCACTGCGCATAAATGCTTCAACCAATTCTCACGATTCATTTCCTTACCAGTCAGAAACGTGCTAACATAAGAGTCCTTCTCTGATCTTTTACTGTTGAATATAACCACAAGAGTCAAGCGTGGGTCCACTCGAGTCAAGAAGTACGTACTCTGGACACGCTGAAAATTAAACCAACACAGACAAGTGAGAGTAGGAAAAAGTTGAGGATAAATCAGGCAGAAAAAGAGATGTTACTAAATTGGATTGCAATAAGCATACGTTGTCAAAGAAGTACACAATCTTCTCCATGGCATTGAGTTCATGAACTTTATCGAGGAGTATAGACACAATATTTGGCCAGTGCCCTACAGGCCGCTCCTGTAAAAAAAGAAAGTTTGTTAGCCCTTTTAAAATTCTCTTTTTCACCTCTTTTCAAATTTTGTAAATTACCTGTAATCTTGGAAGTTTTATAAGGGGCAGGTGTAAATGTAGTTTGCTAAAAATATCCTTTGATTATTGAATTACACCCAAATCTGAACTAATGTTTTGTTTATTTAACCCTTTAACTCCCAGATCGTATTTGTAATTCTCCCTACTGTCAACTATACAATTCTGATGATATTAATGCAGAGAATTTAGTATTGGATCAACTAATTATCCCCAACTTGATATTTTTCTTGATTCTCATCACTAATCTGGTTGATATTTTATTGATATTGTAAGGAGAAATACTGTCTTGGTCACTCATGGGAGTTAAAGGGTTAATTATCTATTTGTGTCATTTAGCCAGGCTGACCCAGTTCAGCTCTAAAGTTGGTTAATAAGTGTGGGCCTGTATAAACAATAACAAGACCAGACTATAACACTGGGAGTTATGTTCCCTTCTCTTTGTGAAAGTGCCTTGGTTCTTAAACACTCCTGCTAACCAGTACAGTGTGTAGCTTTTCACATACAAAGTTGAGGATGGTTTAGAATACTTTGTGAATATATATATAAAGCCTCGCTTATGTAGTAGTAGTTGTTGTCGGAGGGACGACTCAGTTTTGAAAGCTATACCAAGAGAGAGTTACTGCTGAAGATTGCTCATTTCAAGGAACTTTGGAGACAGCAATGATATTTATTATTGGGCTAAATTAAATTTTTTAACGATAAGTATTGTACTTCTTATAGGAGTCATTCCTTGTTAAGAACATTACTTGCTGATTAATAAAGTAGTTGAATTTGTGGGATTGTAGTGTTTTTCTGTCAGTTAAATTATACCATAACATTGTTTATTTGATTATCCATTTTACATTGGAAAGTTGCTTCCCAAATTCAGAAAAGACCATACCCCTAGGAACATGTTACTTACCCCAGGGAATGAAAAGATGGCAGGAAAAGCTCCCAAGCCAGAGGGCTTCTCCTTCATATCGTAGGGAAAGTGGTATCCATGTCCCTGGTACAGCTCCAACTGATGAGTATCCAGTAACATATTGACACTAAATGCATCTGAGCGACGGATGAATGCCATGATCCTGAAAAACACAAACACTTCAAATCAGTATGCATATTCTCCATTCTGTTTTTCATATCTTTCCTAAGGTGCTGACAGGGAGAATTTGATTTACAATCAAGAGTTTCTTCAGTCAGTGATCTTTTCCTTTATTCTTGTGACTTAAACGTGTGACCAGGGGTGATATTGTAAGGAGAAATTAGATGCCAGTCACTCTTAGGGACAAAAGGGTTTCCCCCTTTTCCCCTTGGAGTGACCAACATATAAAGTCTCCTTACAGCTTTATCAAAATGTCAATTAGATTGTTACTGAGAATCAAGAAAATCATCAACCAGGGTTAAGTGTCTTGATTGGACACTTAACTCTCAGAAATAGACACCCAAGGTTTTTAAGGTCACCAGTTAGGAGAATTAGCTTTCAGATCTTGGAAGTGAAAGATTGAAGCACTCATTAGATAAACAAAAGATTTCCTTCAGGATCTTGTCACTAGTTTGGTGCAGGTATTGAAGCAGTAAACACAATTATAATGAATGACATTAGCCACCACAAAGCACAAAGCGACACATACCTTCCTACATAATCAATACTAGCCCGTGAAATTAATGACTTCATGTCCATTGGTGTGGTCTGTCTCCCAAGTATATAGTAGAAATAAAGAGTGAACTGGACGAAAAAAAATGGGGGAAATGTGTGTCAAAAGAAGAATGAAGTATAAAATAGACTGAGTTTACTGCATCATGTAGTGTAACCATTTAATTCCCAGAAGTGATTAACATCTAACTTCTCCCTATAATTTCCATTCATTATCCAGCAAACAGGTTATGGGAATACTCAAACTTATCACATAGAAGTTGTTACAGTGTATTGTGATCTAACACTAAATTCTTGTAACTAACTTACAAGAAAATATGCAGCAGCTAAAGGGGATAATTTACAAATAGAGCTTGGGAGTTTAAGGGTTACGAGTGATTCATATCTAAAGCCCATCACCTCTTGGTCATATTTAACCAACCCTAAAACCCCAAAAGTGACTAGCATCAAACTTCTCCTTAATATTATACTGATATGTATACTGATGCAATTGTCATCATTACTAGACTATAAGGAGTCCCTCCTTTTTCCTTTCCCAAAATAAACTTAGCAATAAAATAAACAAACAAACAAATGGTGGCTAGCATGAGTGATGTGCGGCCTATTAGCTATTATTTTTTTTTTCCGATGACTTTTTGCATGATGGACTTCACTGAAAAGGAAGGACTGCTAATAGTCTAAATCATCACTAACACTACCATCATCATCATCATCATTTTCCATCCAACTTGAGTTACAAAACAGATAAAATGTACATGAACTTTACATTGTTACCTTTGAAACTAAGGCATCCTGCAGTTTTCCAAGCCATTGATAAAGAAAAGGTGCCTCAATGTGTTTCTTTGGGGTGCTGCCAAATAGTGACTTCTTACGTGTGAGTGAGGTTGATAGCTGGGAGGATGATGGAGAATAAATCATTTGTTTTATAGTCAAGAAATGGTTAGCATAAGATCAGGCCCTAGTCAAAACAGCTACATTACAAAATGTTTCTTTTCCCAGAAGAAAGTTTGAGTCCTTGACCAAAGTGAGTCAGCAAGAGGTCTGGTACAGCACTCATTATTAGTGCCAGACCCCTGGTAGACCTCTCCTCCACTCGTCTCATTCACAGGCAGAGAAATGCTTGCTCTTTGCTGCTAATTATGAGGGCCTCCCGGCAGGGTAAGGACTAGTTAGAGCTTATTTTTTCCCTGGGATAATGATATTTGTTTGCACACAGAATAGTTCAATGACTCTCCAAGCATGTGCCCATATCTTTGGAGTGTAATCAGCAATATTGCCACAATCTGATTTCTCAATGACTATGGGGGATAACTTCTAGTTTACTATAAATTCTCTAATTTACCTCTTAAACTCCCAAAGGTGATTTACATGTAACTTCTCCTTATAACATCGATACATTAACCACCAAACAAGTTACGAGAATACTCAAACTTATCATATTTAAGTTGTCACCTTAATCTAATGCCAAATTCTTGTCACTAATTTACAAGGAAATGTGTAGCAGCTAGAGGGGAGAATTTACAATCAGATCTTGGGAGCAAAAAGGTTAGAGATGTAACATATCTAACACTTACCTCCCCTGGTGGTAGAAACTGACACCAAGAGGACAGTTTGACGTAACTTTCATGAAGGTGAAGAAGGGATGGAAGGAATCTCCAGTCGGCCATGTCACACTGAGCTTTCAACAAATTGGACAAAATATCCACTTCAAAACTAGGTGAAAAAATACAAAATCTTAGTGAGCTGTCAAAGTTTGATCTTGTTCAATTGATCTTGATCAATTAGGAATTAGGAAAAGTGAAACACTATACATGATTTCATCCTTAAAATCTCAGAAGTGATTAACATTTAACTTCTCCCTATAATACCCATACAATATCTAGTAAAAAGGTAATGAGAATAAACAAACTTATCAGGCTGAAGTTGTTCTCTTGATCTAACACCAAATTCTCATTACTTATGTACAAGAAATTGTGTAGCAGCTAGAAGGGAGAATCAACAATCAGATCTTAGGATTTAAAGGGTAAATAAACATTCAGGGAGTTTCTTCAGAAAGTTGCCGGCTGAAAGTCCAAGGAACAGCTCCAACGCCTTGGTCATCTCATCTAATACTTGACAGCATAAGATCCAGCCATGTAGGCCAAACTGTACAACCTTTATTTTATGCACCTGGTAAGTGTGGGACGGCAAGAAATCTGATCCAAAAGCCATACTGGCCATTTTAATGGCAAATGGTGACATCTCAAAAATGCCACAGATGACCCAGTCACCACATGGCCAATGTATGGATGCAGACAATTGTTCTGTCACATTTAGCAAATTTGTTGGTCCTTCAATAGCAATGATTTAGATTTTATATTAATGACTATCATCTTGTCATAGCAACTCTATATAATTTACCCAAAACCAGAGTCTTAGAAAAACATGAGCTGGAGTTCGAATAAACTGATAAAAATGTGTATCTGAGTCACATACCTGAAGCTTGATTTAAGAGAATCCAAAATGGGATGATGAAAGCCCTTATTGTGTCTACAAAGAAACATATCTACTTGATTAACTTTGAGCAGGCTATGATTGCAAAGAGATTGGGGCTATTCTTCTAACCACACCTTATATGAGCACCACGTGACACATGAGTGCCCTTATTGATGTTTAACCCTGTTTGTATAAGCCTCTATACAGGCCCAAATGGCCCATGGGGCCAGCGCTCTGGTTTCCTTTAGCATGAAGCGGCTAGGAGTATTGCTACCCCCCCTGGATGGGATGCTAGTCCATTGCAGGATTACCCCCAGCATATTTGTTGGTACTTATTTGTACACCCGGGTGAAGAGAAGCACTGTGAGAATAAAGTGTCTTGCCTAAGAACACAACACAATAACCCTGGCCAGGGCTTGGGCCTGGACCACTCGATCCAGAGTCAAGCGCACTAACCATGAGGCCAATGTGCCTCCACTCCTGTTTGTATGTATGCATTAAACATTCTCCTGAGAGCTTAACATCTGAACAGATAATGATAAGAATTAACAACGTCGATGAGGTGAGAGACCTAAGTCTTGAGTCTATCTGAGAAAAAGTCCTTACTCTTTTTATGCAACAATTGTTAACTTGTTAGCTTAAAAAATTACGTACCTTTGACAAATCTCATCAATCATATTTGACAAGTCTGTATATTTTACATTTGTAGCTGATCCCATCATTGCCATGGCCTCATAACTGTAATTAACATTTTCAATCAAGGAATATAGTACCAATTTAAAATGTTCCATTAAATTGACAAGTAAGAAAACATCATTTGCATGTGGTTGTGACAAGATATCAACATCATGATTGTTTTTTTAACTTCTCCTTACACTGTCTACTCAATATCAAGAGAATAGGTGACGAGAAAATAGAAACTGAACAGATAGGGGATGTAATCATGACATCACACTAACCTCTTTGGATCAATGTTATTATCTGAGCAGCTGCCCACCCACCCCTCTCCTACAACAACTACAGTCAATTGATAACAAGTCAGGGTTAATGTTGGGTTAGGGGAGGGGTAAGTGTACAGTTGCTCAAGTTCAAGGGAATGCATGGCAGCTGGAAGGAAGAATAACTAATTTAACCCTTTCACTCCCAAGATTTCAGTAGTAATTCTCCTTACTGTCTACCATACAATTCATGTGATGCTAGTTTGGAGAATTTGTAATTGGATCAACCAATAATCCCCTAATTTATATTTTTTTTATTCTCGTTAATTGTCTGCTTGATATTGTATTGATAGAATAAGGAGAAATTCTGTCTTGGTCACTAGTGGGACTTAAGGGGTTAAACAAGAGAAGAAGGAGTTGAGCATCAAAGTACAAAGTCTTGACCTGGGAAATGGATGATCATTTTTTTACACAGAGAGAATCACCCCAAAGAACCACATAACAACAGAAAACAGCCTTCTCCATGACACTTAAGCTGAGTGAACAAGTCTGTAGAACTTTACCAAAAGATACAAGTCAATTAACTCCTGTCTAGCCTGGGAAAATTGACACAAATGTCTGCACAGCTCAGCCAACAAACTTCCTTCTAGTGGGGACCCTGTGGAACTGTGTGTTGTTTCTTCAATTTTCTTCAACTCCACTATCAGGGTTTTGAAGCTGTCCCTTACAGACTGCAAACAAAATAAACAGATTTCAATTTAACTAACTAGATAAAAAAATAGAGACACTACCTGCATATTGTACAAGACCTTCTTTTGCATTACATTTCTGGCCTACATGTAACTTGAATATTGTAAAATAAAACTACATGTTCTCAATCATTTTACACATAAAAAATAAATGATTAGCCCATAAGTACACATTAATTAATATAATTAGCCTGATTAGAATTAGTTAGCACATATTAATTAGCTGTACCTGACCTGCATGTGTAATCACAATATTGTTATAATAAGCTAACTAAAAATTAAATGATACATATTAATAATAATTTGTTACTGACAAAGTATTTATTATTATTAATCCAGTATTGTCAAAATGTGCTAGCAACCACTGCATTTTATTGTCTACTCTGAAAAACATGCAGGCTTTTCGTGTGGCTCCCTGTACCCTCACCTGCAGAGGAGCCTTTGACTTCTGGTGACAGCTACTTTCTATCACAGTCTGATTAGTCACAATCTTTTTTAAGAACCCTGGTTAGTCACTTTCTGTTTAAAAGATTCTATAGTCTCCTTGTCCTAGTAAGAGTAGTCCTGAAAACGACTGTTGTTCAGTTGATAGAAGTGACTGATACTTTAACAGCCTGACTGAAGATCATTATAAAAGCAAGGCAAGGAATTACTTGTCAGTCAAGCATTAAATCTGGTCAGCTTTTTGTTACATACATCTTTCCTGAACAACCTTCTGGCAATAAAAGGGAAAGAGAAGTATGTCTTTTCCGCCGAAGCCAGATGTGACAGGGTGACTAGCAGTGAAGACCATGGTGTACTGGATACCAGCGGTAATCTTTTTGTTTCCTTCTCCTTCTCCTACGTGAGAAAAATAACCAGGAATTTAATGTCAGTATCACTTCTGAGCAAAAAAGCCTTTGGTTCCCACCATAACCCTTTAACTCCCAGAAGTGATTAACGTGAAACTTCTCCCTATAATATCCAAACATTATTCAGCAAACAGGTAGTGAGAATTTTCAAACTTATCAAGCAGAAGATGCTATCTTCATCTAGCACCAAGTTCTCATAACTAATTTACAAGGAAATGTGCCGTAGATAGAGAGGAGAATTAACAATCAGATCTTGGGAGTTAAAGGGTTAAACTATAAATTCTGCTGAATTGACTTAAGACTCAGCTATCCAAAATGACACAGCTGTATTTGATTCTATCTCACTGCTTGTACTAGAAACTATTCAGAGTTTGCTCAGATTAAATTTAGAAGAAGGTATATTTCAATCCAGTGAGGAAGTCCATTTTGGGAAACCAAGGAGGATTTAATTTCAGTAGAAACCTAGATGATATTAATCAAATTAATCATTAAATTAAAAAGTTAAACATTTCAATGTTACTTCCTCTGTCAAAGGAGGGAAAATTAATAGTTTTTCTAGTAATGAACCCTTTCACTCCCAAAGTGATGAACTCTTTCACTCCCAGTAGTGACCAAGACAGAACTTCTCTTTAAAATATCAATACAATCTCAAGTAAACAAGTACTGAGAATTTAGAAAAATATCAAATAAAGTGGATTATTATTTGAGTCACTACAAATTCTCCAAACTAAAATTGTAAGCAGTATATGGTACACAGCAAAGAGAATTACTAAAGAGATCATGGAAGTGAAAGGGTTCATGTGTAACTTCTCCCTTTAATATCTATGCATTATTTAACAAACAGGAAATCATACATCCCAACTCTCCCACATGATGTGGGAATGTCTTGTCTCTCAAATCTTCAAATGTTCTCCTACATGATTTACCAAATTTCTCAGATATAAGCAATGAACAATCTTTCAAAGTATTTGCTCCACTGTAGGCTAACATTGTATTCCCAAATTTACCCAAATCAAAACAATTCTGGTTTTTCACACATGTTGCCATTTCTTAAAGCATTTTTTATGCAATCAAATCTTGCAGAAACTAAACAAAGGCTTTCTACATTTTCAGGGAAGGAGATAGATTTCATAGCAGGGCTGGGCATCAATTTTTCAGTTGGGAAGGTGTTGTTGGGTTGATGCTGTGGTGGTATAAGAGAAAAATCTCAAGATTTAAGATCTTAACAGGTTGGCATCTCTGGGTAATGAAAATACCCAAACTTATCTGGTAGAAGTTGTTACCACAATGCAACACCAAATTCTTGTAACTAATCTACATGGAAATGTGTAGCCGCCATTGGGGGGGGGGGGGGGGGGGAGATTTAGAAACAGATCTGGTGAGTTTGAGGGTTAATAAGTCGTAAAAAATGCCAAGGAGATTACCACTTGATCCTTTGCCTTGTCAAAAGCAAACTGACTGAGCGCATGAAAAAATGTCTCCAGTAGAGCTTGTTCTCTAGAGATGGGCGGTATGCTTGGGGATGGACTGACGCCTCTCTTTTCTGTAGATATAAGCAAAGCAACATTGCACCGGAATACGATTTAGAAATAAAAACATTAAGGTTTTTATACCAGGGTTTCAAGTCCAGGAGAAGAAATGAAAAACGTAATTCTAAAGGTGTAGCTAGGCTTAAAATAATCAAAGGAAAAGCAGCCACCACATATAACAACAACCTCCTGCACCCTCGAAAAGCTTAACAACAACAAAATTGCTTAGTACCCAAAAAACCTCGAAACAGTACTGTTGACTAACTTTTCATTTGATCCTCTTCTTCGAAACTTAAACTCACACATAGGATTATAATATTTACCTGATTCCATTTTAATACTTTTCAAGATAATTCAGGTCATTCCAAGGAAACAACTAACTCCTTTTTCATCTAAAATGCTCACAGAGCACTGTAAGAGCGTCCGCCATCTTTGTTTAGGACATGTAACCAAGCCTTGTCGCAATGCCAGTCTCTCGCGGGTCTCACTGGCCAGGTCACATGAATCTGGGTGATGGAGGTTCGATCTTCATAACAAGTTTGTCTTCGCCGATATTTAGCCGGTAATTCCTTTACATCATATTCTAGTTTATGTGTTTTTAGACTTCTTCTTACTTTCTAGAAGGCTCACTCAGTTCATGTCGGGGAAAATAGGAGAGGATCTTTAATTTGTTAGTGATTAGATTTAATTTACCAGATACAGTATTTGTCGAAAAATCTCTCATGAAAGATGTAACAGTACTTCCGTTTGGAAAATCCATTATACATTTGAGGTGAACCTTAATGATTGCTCGAGTCTTTATTTTCAGTCAGTTAAAGTACACTGTACGTGGTAGTATCAGCTTTGTCAATTGGTGTCGGAAATCATAAAACAGTGTCTTGTCGAAACAGCTGATTTTGCGTTATTTTTATCTGTTTTCCTTCAGTTTCAAACTATGGCCGGTTACGAGAGCTTCACAGATATTGCCACAGACAAGGGCGTGGAAGATCCAAATCTTTCCTCAGGTAAAGTTTATTCGTTTATCTATCCTATTTATTTGTCTATCTATTTGGCGCTGTTTAAATTTATTTGTGTACGTATCAGGTACTAAGCTTCTAGTACCATTGCTCAGGTGATCACAGATATTCTTGCACTCTGATTGGTTGAGGATTGCAACATATCTTGCTGTAATCACCCAAAGGGAGGTGATTATAACTGGGGTGCAAAATGTTTGGAACAAACTGAAAAGTGTCAAGAAAATAACTTGAGGAGAAAATGAAGACTTGTTTGAAAGTAAAAACAGAATAATGATTATGAAGAGAGAAAGTGCTAATGGCCAGTTCAAAATTGATAGGAGGGACCTGAAGCAAACCACAACTGCGATGGCACAGAGGACATGGCTAAACAATGGCTCAGCATACATGTGCATTTTAAAACTTTGTACAATACTTAACTGTCCTCTCCAAAATACATTAAAATCACCAGAATTTGCTGGTCTGAGAAAGGAAACCATGACAGTAAATTGTTTAACTTTCCATTTAGAACTCAATCCAGCTTAGATACAATATGCTGAAGTTGAGATGTGACACTTTAACCTTTTAACTCCCAGATCAAATTTGTAATTCTCTTTACTGTCAACCATACAATTCTTAGAATGTTATTTCAGAGAATTTGGTATTGGATCAACTAACCATCCCCAAATTGATATTTTTCTATTTTCTCGTCCCTTATCTGGTTAATATTGCATTGATATTGTGAGGAGAAATTCTGTCTTGGTCACTCATGGGAGTTAAAGGGTTAAGAGACTATAAACACCTCAAGCCACTTGTGAAATTCCAGCTGAAATATAAATTAATTTTTTAAATGACATCTCTCAAGACATAACTATTCTGATTGTGTAAGGTCCCTATTAGTTTGAACTTGATTGGCAGGGAGGGTACTTTGAGTTTTTTGGACCAATTACATAGAAAAGTAAGGCAAAATCAAAACATTCTGAAATAACTTTTAATACTCAATTGAAAATTACTCTATCAAGAGATAATAGTCACAGTTACTGGCTGTGAGAGCCAATTACCCTTACCTGCTCCATCCATATCTTTGTATCTTTTGCAGCCATTGTTATGCCATTTGGATTGTTATCAGTTGAGAGTGAAGAAGTTAGGAAACAGAAAGTCAACTGGCAGACTTATGTTCAGTAAGTTCCATGCCCTTTCTCATCAGGAGACCTTAGCTCTGTAACAAATTAGAGAAAAATTGAATTTTTCCATAGCTAGGCATGCAAAATATTATCATTCTAAGTAGTTGAGTCCTAAACAAGAATTTCAACTTTTCCTACTAAGATTGTAACATTTGGTGATGATTGATGGTGTTTCTAAGACAATTATTGATGATGCTGATAACCACATCGATAGTTTTAATAGTAATGACAGGGAAGACAATAATGATTCACAGGAATGACAAAACATATTATTGTAGTTATTCAGCTACACAACCCACCCAGACACACTGCCAACTTAAGAATGCGAAAATGTCAATTTCCCAACTGGATATTTTTGTGAAAATATTCCATTATAAAAGGTACCATAAGTTTTAGAAATTTGCAGGTGCACAGTGAGAGTAAAAATTGTGCACCTATAAATAGAGTAAGTACAGATGATTTAGATGATCTGTTCTAACAACAATTTGAACTTTTGTCCATTTTTGCTTTGCAAACAGAGGGAAATGGGTTCAAAATGATTTCAGTGTCAAAATTACTACTGGCATGTATATTAATAATGCAGGGATGTAGCTAAAGTTTTTAACAGGCAGGAATCTTGCAATGATAGGCCGGTATTTGGGCTGAAGGCCCACTCTTACATGCCTTTGGCACGCTATACCTAGAAGGTGTAAGCAAATGAAATAAATCAATAACAATCTTCTGACAACATTTAAAAACATTTTGGATAAGGAAGTGGTGCTTCACAGCCAGAAAAATCACGTTCACAGCTGGGTAATTTTCCCAGCCTCCTGCTATTATCTACATCCCTGCTAATGTCTTTTAGTTATTATATGATGTTATTTCTAACTGGATTACCTGTTAATTTCATAAGGAGCCAAATGATAAACCCGGAGGATTATGAAATGATTGCTGACTATGACTGCATGGGAGTTGAAGAAAGAGGAAAAATTCTGGAGGAGAAGGGAGATCAGGTATGAAAACGTGAAAAGTGGACAAAACACTTTCAAACTTTATTTCTTGAGAACTGCTTCAAACTGTTCTCTTCAATGGACTTAATTGGCACAGCATATTTCTTCTTCAGTTTGCCAAGAGCTGTTTGTCATTGCTTGCTCGACTGTCACGGGACAAGACAATCAGATATATACTTGTCCTAATTGATGATATGCTGACTGTAAGTATTTCAATTTATATTTTGCCATAACAGCAAATTAAGTGAGGCTGAAACAGGTGTTGAGTTTTTGACCAATGAAAACAGTCCCTTGTCTGTTTGATGGTGAAGTCCAGTGAAGCACAATAGTTTATTAATTTTTGTCACTTCAGTTGATGAACGTGAAATGGAAAAGAACATTTATAGATGGGCAGTAAATTTACAAATACTTCAAATCAATGTATATTTTATTCATAATTACTTTTAAACCAGTGGTTTTCTATGCACTGTAGCAATTAATTTCTCCTTACAATATCCAGCAAACAGGGAATGAGAAAACTTGAACTTGTCAGATAGAAGTTTTTAATCTTGATTGAACACCAAATTCTCATAACTAATTTACAAGGAAATGTGTAGCAGCTGGAGGGGAGAATTAACTATGAGATCTTGGGAGCTTCATGATTAAAATTAAGAGGTAAAAATGAAGATGACTTCCCAAAGAGTGTGAAAGAAAATACAAAAATTATCTTATATTTTTTCCTTCTTTTGTAACATTAGTTTTAGTTCGAAAAGATGAATTTGTGAATTTTTCCACTTTCAGGAGGAAAGAAGTAGAGCATCTATATTTCATGAATTTGGTGAAAGGTAAATTTGCATTTTGTAATGATTTTTGCATGCCCCTCATTTTACCTGAGTTTGCCTTCAGAGTTATGAATGATGAATGTTTTTTCATGTTTGTTACACAGGGCAAATGTCAATGTGTGGGCTTCATTTCTGAAATTTCTCAACAGGGAGGATCAATTCATTGTTCATCAGGTAACAGCTGGGCTTTCAGATGATCAACATTCCCCTTCTCCTTGCTTGTCTCTAGATGTACAGTATAGTAACTTTGCATGTGGCTCGTGCAGTTTTGACTACAAACTGCAAGTCTTCTTCAGGAAATCTGGAGCTGTCAACCCTACAAATATTATGTGCCATGAAATAGTTGTCCTTAAAGTTCCTCTCAGGGAGAAATGATATTTATTTTAATAATTATTTTTCATCACCGCTTTATGTAAAATAATTGTTTTTAATTATATTTTTTTCAGACAGGTATTATTATAGCTAAGTTGGCTTCCTGGGGAAAAGTTTTGTTGCCAGATTCTGACCTAAATTACTTCCTGTCTTGGATGAAAAATGGCCTGGCATCAGCAGTAAGTATTTAACCCTTTAACCCCAAGAGTGCTCAGCATCTGATTTCTCCTTACAACATCACTCCTGAATCAACCATTAAGATCATGAGAATAAAGGAATTGATCACTAACTGAAGAGGCTCTTGATTGTTAAACAAATTCTCCTTGTCAGAACCTTAGGAAATGTATAGAGAACAGTATGGAGAATATGCATACTGATGTTAGGGTGTAAAGGGTAAACACATTGCTGTAACCTTGAATTATTTTTTATTAGGCTGAAAGGTTTGCCATAAATGAAGAGCAACACAAAGGGATACGCTGTTAATAAAACACTATTCACTCAGTTACTGTCACATCAATGTGTCTGAAAATAATTTTTTTCGTTTTTCAGGGAAATGGGTACCATCATAGTGTAGCTCAGTGTCTTCAGCTGATGTTGAGACATC